AATTGTGCCTTTGTGTGGATTTTTATTTAAGGCTAATTGTTTTAATCATTTTTGTCAGATTTGTCTAGAATTTCATCACAGTATTTAAATGAAAATTGAAAACGAATAACAAGTTCGAACTGCAGACTGYTGAGTATTCACAATGGGATGTAATTCAAGGACAAATTTAATTAGTTATGTGACTGACTGTTTGATGCTTTATTAACTAAGAAATTCAACATATAGTWTTTTTTGTTTGTTTTTCATAAAATTTTGCAGTGTTTGCTCTGCTGCAGATTCTGAGAATTTCCTGACTTTCTGGTGAGAAAATGGAACAGAGGTACAGTAACTGTCTTTTATCTGTGAGGGATTTCTCAGCACCCAGGTTTTTCTTTCCTTTCCTCTACTGGTTTTTTTAAAACTTCCAGCCAGGTTTTTAGTATTACACAGAGCAATACAGCTGGGTATAAAACCAAGTTTTATTTATATTTATATGATGTTAATGCACATGAGTCATGCAATTACTTTAGKCTGAAAAGGAGAGTTCATCGGACATGTGTTCCCTTGTACTAGTGTAGATACATAAATAGTTATGGCCTGAATATTTTGGTGATGCAAAACATCCTGTAATCATGTATAAAGTACATTTATTTTATTTTATTTTATTTTATTTTTTGTTCAGGCATAACAATCAATGTGATGTGTGTAGGTAAAATTTACTAACTGATGATAACCTTATTCACCAATGCTTCCAGTCCTGTTGGGTTTTTTGACATGTTGGTCTATTACCTAAATCTAAATAAGGTAACCAGTGGAAAATTCTAAGCTTTGAACCAGCTGAAATTGTGTTTGGATACATTTCCCCTAAAGGTGCTGGAAGATGTGATTTTCCCCTCACAAGTGTATCTTACTGAGTTTGTTTTCAAGTGTGGAAAACCATTGCATCACACACACCATCCTACCTGCTGAGAAGAGTGGGAAAAAAGGTACTTTAACAGAAAACATGTTCATTGTCGCTTTTGTCCCTGTGATATAATGTCAGCTCTGTTACCAGTTCCCTGTTGTGCACTTATTTTCTACACGGTAAAGTATCTGATATTTATTTTTGGGATTTGAATGCCTGAACGTTAAAGTAGAACTTGACAAGAAACATTAAAATACTGAACATTTACTCCAGAGACTGCTAATCCTTGTTTCGTCATCTGATTCTGTAGTGTGTATGATGGTTTACCAGTGTCAGCTGAGAGATAACAGAAATGGGATTTCAAACTTAGTTTTTTGGGCTTCCTCACAGTTATTGCATTTTATTCTGAGGCCTTGCCAAGTTAAAAAGCAACACGAGATAAAGAAGTTTCTGCTGCAGGGTTCATCAACACCAATGACTTGGGCAGCTTGGACAACTCTGCATTTTATTTTGTCACAGTGAACATGTGTTTTGTGGCAGTTGCACTTCTTAATGACCTGCAGGTGCTTTGTTTTTCCTGATCTGCTCATCAGGAGTAGAGCTTAAAAGCTGGGAGAACCAGCCCAGTCAGGCCATTTGGACAGTGAGCAGGATGCACGTGGGGCTGCTTTCTGAATTTTTTAAAAGGCTGGCATCTTTGAGTGTGATTTGCTCCTTTTAGAATATTTTTTTATATATGTCATCATTCTTTGAGCCATCCATTCCACTTATTAAACTTAAATACTGTTCAAAGTATTTTCGGTGGGTGTTTCATACCAATATTTAACTTTACCTATAAAATATTTCTCTTTGACGAACCAATTTTCTAGGAGMGCAAAACAGATCAACAACAACAAAAAATGTGTCCAGCTAGAAAAAAAATGTATAAAAGTTTAGATTAAGGTCTGGTCACTTGTCATTCTGTTTACGGTTTACAAGACACTGTGCAAAGTGAAATAAAATAAACATTCATCTGCAGTTTATCAAGAAAGAGATGATTCACTGAGCAACCTTGAGAAACAGCAAACAGCATTCCCTCCCTGACATTTAAACAGACCTTCTGTCTTTTTCAATAATAAATCATAAACAACCCATGAGGATATGAAGTTGTTGGTGCAAACACAGTTTTTGTGTATTTTGTAGTTGTATGCTGTTGACTGTAATGGATTTTGTGTAATAACTGTATGGGGCATTTTATTATGTTTGCTCTCCTTTGTCACTCGGTGGTCATGACGTCTTATGACAGTGCTTTTACATCTGTATGGGTGTCTGTTCGGAAAATATTTCATGAACAAGTGGAACTGTTTTGGTGAAACTCTGAAAAAAACATTAGAATTTTGTCTTGAATTCTGTCTTGTTTTAAGTCCTCTCTGAGAAAAAATGTAAACCTATATTTTAGACTTTCCTTTGTTCTGCCCCAAACCCAGCAGATGGCCGCCTATCCTGTGCCTGGTTCTTGCAGGAGGTTTCTTCCTGTTAAAGGAGAGTTTTTCCTCTCCACTGCTGCCGGTGTGCTGCTCAGGATGGGAGACTGTGATGAAGCGAAGATTTGGTGCAGTCTGCTGGCTTCTTTAATTTTTTTATTTTTTTTTTTTTTGTGTGTGTGTGTATAGTGCCCCAAGACAGCAATTGTTGTGATTTGGCGCTATATAAATAAACTGAACTGAAACTGAACTGAACTAAACTTTGCAACATTTCATCACTTGATTCCAATGCATAAATCTGTGCAAAGGCTAAATAAACTAGAGCTATCTGTAATATAAACACAATGTAGAGTACAAAATATTGTTCTTATTTATGCACTGAAGATGTTCCTCTACAAATGCATGATCTGAACACCATCACATTAACCAAGATTTTGGTTTAAAACTTTGTCATTAACTATTAGAGTCAACAGTTATTGTTTGTCTGCTTCAACTCTGTCCTTCGTTGACATGAGGCGATCTTGGTTGACATTAGGCATCGAGCAATATGCATTCTTTCAGCAAATGATAGGTCTTTGCTCAAACTCTTCCTTTCCATCTTGCTAATGCCCACTCAAAGTCCTTTTCTGGTCATGTTTGTGTTTTGACCTGATGTGAAGCTGCTTCTTACCAGCCCGTGTGTGATGTTTGTTCTCCGGAGAAAGAAGGCTCATTATTTTTCGTGCGCAGACCCAGTTTTTACTGTTATGTCCAAAGATCAAGCCATCTCTCCATTAGTGAGAATTACTTTGAAAAGGTCTGATCTCTGCTTGAAAGACATGCACTCAAAATGCTTACACACCAAGTGTACTGAGAAAATGTTTATTTTATAACATTTTTTACATATTTATTTCATTTTTTATGCTGTTGAGCCCAGTATACCCAACATGCAACCTCACAGGCCATCATTTCTCACTGTTCGGCATGGAAATAAAGTTTTAATTATATGTGTTCATTTGAAAAGGCATGTGAGGTGAAATGAAGTCATAACTTGTGACCTGGGCTTGAAGGAACTTTTCTCACACTCTGATTGCTCCGTTAATTTATTCAGAGAGCAGTGAATCACCCTAAACCCYTCTGATGCATTTCACTTTGTTATGTTGTTGAGTTATGATTCATCCTTTAAAAAAGCTATAAAATTATATGATGCTGTCCTCAGTATTTTTAAATTAACTGTTTTGCTCAAATGGAATCTTTGTTGAAAGTGGATGATAGATAATGACGTGTTTGATAACTAACAAGATGGTTGTTAAATTTCTATACAATTTACACCAAAAAATGTAGGCAAGACTTTCCTAATTATTTAATATTACCAAATTATCTTCTTGTAAGTGTGATTAAGTAGAAATTGCATTTGTGCTATTTTTCATTTATAGTGTCATTAACTCATTTTCTCCTTTTTGTTGTAATGACCCCTTTCTGCTTATCAGGAGGTCGAAAGGTTTGTTCCTTCCTCTGAATATTTGCTGAACTTGATTTGAACACCAAATTAACACCTTTTCAACATCAAGAATGAAGACAATGRCTTGTGATTGGTCTATAAACCACAGGATTTACCGACATTGCAAAAAAAAATAGAATGGGTACAATTTAAAAAACAGAGATGATTATCTCTATGCTTTTTTACAGATTAAGTGTACATTATGTAASCACACAATTCACTTGCAATGAAAATTAAACCCATGCTTTCCATGCATTTCAAATGTAACACATGGCATCACATTTAACACTAGACCATTGTCTAGTAGTAGGTCCAAATGTAGTTATTTTAAAGGGGTAATATTATGTTTCTCAGGCATATATTTAAATTCTATACCATAATAAAAGTAACTATGTCACCTTCAGTTGTTATTAAAATGTTTTTTATGTGTTTAAAGAGAAAATAAATTTGACTTCTCATCATATCTGTGTCTAAACACCTTAAAATTGGCCTCTGTCTCTTTAAGAACCTCCTCATGCCTCTGTCCTGCCCATTTCAGCATGGGGCTGGGTGTGTGTGTGTGCTCTGTGGTAAGGAAGCTCAGCTTGGAGACACAGCCCAGAGGAGGAGCTGATCCCAAAAGGCGGTTCTAGTCCCAACCGGTCAAAATCAAATCAAATCAAATCAATTATGACATGATATAAAACTCAAAAAAGTTGATTTTACATGAAATTGCCCCTTTCACATGAACACAAACACTGTAAGAATAGAACAGCATGGTAGAAATACTGCAGTAACTTTTTCAGTTGTTATGGGCATGGCATTATCTGAGAGGTTACCTCTAACTGTAAACACGAACAGAGTACATCAATACATGTCCACAATGCTACTCAAGCCATGAGGTGTATACTGATGTTGCCAGCAAAACACTAGCAAATTTCAGAAACTTGTTTTCTCTTAGCTGAATGACACAACTTTCTGTTGCTCACATTACGTGACACTTCAAAGAACCGCATTGAAATACAGAAACACAAAGTTCTCTCTCAGATAATAAACTTCAGCACATTTTAACTTTAACTCATCAGATCTTTTAACTTTTATAGTCCACAGAAATTATGGGATGCAACTGGATGGATTTGTTAACCGGTTGTACGGGACAGGATGAAGACGCCCACTGAGAGTACTTGCCATTTACCTATGTGACTACGGTGTGACGACGCACTAGTCAGTTGTCCCAGGAGCGACACCATACAAACTGTCAGCAGCAGCGCCCTTCTGCACATACTCAGTAGGTCCCTCTCCTGCATCCTGTAACAAATTGAACAAAAGAAAATACAAGTTAGCAAAATCAGTACCCAAAAAAATACCAGATGTGAAGGCCGGGTCACTTGGGCTCAAGCCAACCATCTCCCTCAGCTTTGAGTCGGCAGTCAAAAGTGTTCAGCTTGAGTAAACTCCTAAATCACAAACTTAGACTAARGGTGGCTTATTTAGGTGTATTTGCTTGATAAAGAACTGCCCTGCATTATTTGACAACATGTTTCCAAATGTTTCTGAAAATTCAATAAGTGGGACCATTAAATCATTTATATTATTGTATTTTTAAATAAACTTGTCAGGATAAAGGCCTGGGGTCTCATTTATAAAGGATTGTGTGGAAACCATACTAAAAGTGAACGTTCGGCCAAAAGGCAGAAATGGCGTACGTCAAAAAAGATTCAGATTTATAAAACCGTACGTACGCATGTTTCTGTGCATCTTTCCTTTATAAATCAGAGCCGCATGTCAGAGTTTGGACCAAGGTTCCTCCTCAGGTTCTACCCTCTACACGCCCACAC